CCTTTCGTGTCTGGCTTCCCTCCCCTGCTGGCACAGGTCAGGGCTGCATCCCTGGTCAAGCTAATGTGCCACCGTGTCTACACGTTTTGTGTGTCCACTCACCCTTCCGTGGACACATGGCTGCGTCCACCCTTGGGGCTGTCACGAGTGTGCTTTTGGGAATAGCTGTGCACAGGTTCAGACACGTGTTTGCTCCCGTGGGCACCTCCGTGGGAGGGGGGTGCCGTGTGGGACAGTCCCTCTGTGCTTGGCCACCCCTTGGGCGACCCTGTGCTTCCCGCTGGTGTCGTCTGCGGCCCTACTCTCCTTTTCCATTTACTCAGTTTTTCTATTTGTCAGCACTGATTGGAAACTGTTCTGAGACTCCTAGAAGTTATTACTGACACCAGGTCAGCCGGTCCCGCTCATGCCCACCCTCTCCCCAGAGCCCCTGGCAGCCAGTCTCCTCAGTCTTCGAGCAGATAAACCAGGGTAGCGTGGCCAAGCCGGGAAGAATCTGCCAATGAAACAGAAACTCAGAGGAGGCTGCTGCTGCCAGGGTCTCGGGCAGCGGTGCCCATGGTCGCTCACACTGCTCAATGGAGGTCCAGATCACTGTGGGCCAAGTGCATCTGAGCCACTCCTGGGGCCGCGGCCACACGATTTCCTAAGGCTGCAGATGTGCCCCGCAGCACGGTCAGCAGTGCAAGGTGGTGTGGGGTGGGAAGAGGGGCCGGGGGCGTCCCTGCTTGGCAGTGGCGCTAAGCGGCCTCAGGGTCGTGCAGGTCGGCCCGCTTGCAGGTGAGCTCAGAGCGCTCTGCACGGATCGCTCGCCGCCAGGGCCGCCTCCCGGCTGGCACGGCTTTGTCTCGCGCCATCCTGGTGCTGGGGAGGAATGGATGGTCTCGTCCTAGGGGACTCTCCTCCTGGGCTGTTTCCTGCAGTCTGTGTTCCATCTCACACTCCGTAAAGTCACCCTCCCGGCACGCCCCACAGGTCGGGTCAGACCAGCGTGGCTGCTGGGTCCCACTGAGGCCTCCCGCGGGCACCTGCACCAGGCACGCAGGCCCTGGGAGAGGCTGGCCCTGCTGCAGGGCGCCGGGGCCTGTGCCGCCGCTACCACCGTGTCCGCGTTCCCTGCAGCCGTGCTTCACGAATGCTGCTGGGGGGCCACAGGGCATGGGTCCCTCTGACAATGTCCCCGGTGGATAGAGACACGGCCAGAGGGGCCTGAGCACAGGCTTAGCCGTCACAGCCCACTCCCCAGCTTGCAGCAGTGTGAGCACTGCCCGACAGGCCAGGCTCGACCCCGGGACGTCCCAGTGGATTGGGGGGCCGGCAGGGGGCGCCCGGGAGGCTGCAGGTCAGGGTGGCACGGAGCGCAGGTGGCCACTGCGGTGGGCGGGGACTCGGGGGTCTCTGGCGGCAGCCCCAGCCTAGGCGCACCGGCCTGGCCCAGGGAGACCTACCGTGGCTCTCAGGGGCTTGTTTTGGAAACAGGTTTATCAGGGAAGCCCGCCAGGCAGAGCGCCCACGCTGTGCTGACGGGCCGGTGTCCCCGCAGGGAGCTGGAGGAGCAGCACGGCATCCGCTGCAACATGACGCTGCTCTTCTCCTTCGCCCAGGCCGTGGCCTGCGCGGAGGCGGGGGTGACCCTCATCTCCCCCTTCGTGGGCCGCATCCTTGACTGGCACGTGGCCAACACAGACAGGAAGTCCTATGAGCCCCCGGAGGACCCGGGTGAGCTGCCTGTTGAAGGAACGGGGTGGGGGGCGCGCAGCCAGCCTGGGGGTACAGCCGGGCGGAGGGGGCACAGCCTGGCGGCTCTGGGCCTCACCCTGGGCGGGCACTGCCTCCGGCACCCTCAAGGCCATTGGGAGCACCGTGTGTGTGGCCCCAGGCGTGAAGAGCGTCACCAAGATCTACAACTACTACAAGAAGTTCGGCTACAAGACCATCGTCATGGGCGCCTCCTTCCGCAACACCGGCGAGATCAAAGCGCTGGCCGGCTGCGACTTCCTCACCATCTCGCCCAAGCTCCTGGGGGAGCTGCTCAAGGACCGCAGCGAGCTGGTGCCTGTGCTGTCGCCCAAGGCGGGTAAGCCCTCTGCCCCTTGGCTGGCGGCCGCCTCCACCCTGGTCTCTGAGCGTGGAGGGGAGGGACTGGCCCGAGGCTGCCGGTCCCCTGCCCGCAGAGCGAGCTTTGCCGGGGCCCTTCCGAGGTGCCGGGCGGCCCGACCCCACAGGAGCTGGGACACACGGGGGTGCGGGCGGCTGTGGGAGGCCCCGGTGCCTGTCCCCCGCAGCGCAGGCCAGTGACCTGGAGAAGATCCAGCTGGATGAGAAGGCCTTCCGCTGGCTGCACAACGAGGACCAGATGGCGGTGGAGAAGCTCTCGGACGGGATCCGGAAGTTTGCTGCCGACGCCGGGAAGCTCGAGCGGATGCTGGTGGTGGGCGCCCCACACTCGGGGGCGGAGCTGGGGGTTGTCGACTCCCCTGGCCACCTAGACTGTGGCCCAAGGCTTCGGGACCCCTCCTGCAGCAGCCCTGGCAGGGGCCACGTGCGTACGCCCGCTTCTCACGCTCTCCCTTTCTCCCCTTCTAGGGCCGCATGTTCAGCACAGAAAACGGAAAATAGGGCCACACCTGGGCCGGGCCACAGATCTGGGCTGTCTGAATCGGGGCCGATTGCACATGCCTTGTGATGAATTCTGCATTTTTTACCAGTCGGGGCAGGGATGGATCATAGAGTCAACATAAAATTTTGCCTAATTCATTCGCTCAGTCATTTCTCTTGTGCCACGTTCCTGTTGCTGGTCCAGCGCCCCCTTCCCCTGCCAGCTGCCCTGGCGCTCGGCTCCGTGGGAGGGGTGGCGCCACCTCGTGGGCACGACTGGTGTGTGCAGGCTCTCAAGCCGCCGCTGCCTGGTGCCCTGCTGCAGGGGCAAAGGGCTTGGTGGGGGTGCGCCCGCCCCCGCCCCCCACCCAGGTCTGTGCAGATGGAGCCAGGTGTCAGGAACAGGCCTGCTGAGACTAAAGGACCAAGCACTGATGCCCAGATGCCCTGGCATCCGGTCTCCGTCCACCCAGGCTGGCAACTAGCTCTGCAGAGGCCCCTTGGCCACCTCCCAAGAGCAGGAGCGGCAGGACACACACTGCAGGGCCTTGAAGAGGGGACGCACTGCAGGCGCCCTGGCCTGGCCCCAGCAGGTCTGTCTGGCCTGTGCTGAGCGCAGCCCCCAAGGTGTGCAGGGGGCAGCGGGGTGTCCCAAGTCCTGGGCAAGGCTTTGCACCTCTGGCTTTGTCCCAGCGCTCAACAGGCAGGCGGACGGCCAGCTGCTCAGCAGGCCGCACCCCAGGACTTGCAGGTCTGGGTCACACGTGCGTGCACGCATAGCTAACACCAAGCCCGCCCACCCACTCATATGTACAAGCTGGTGATCTTAATACCTCGAGCCTTGCGGACCACCGAGATTGACTGGTTTAAAGATTTTACTGTTTGAAGCAGTCGACACCCCACGTGGGGCACAGACTCCCCTTGCCACCCCGAGACACAGGTGTGCGCTCCAGGAGCCAGCCGGGTGCCCTGACCCCAGCTTTAGGACATTCCCATCCCCCCAGAAGGAGGCATCGTGTTCATGTGCACCCCTCACCCCCCAACAGCGACTCTGTTCTGTGTAATGGACTCACACACACCCGAGGTCTGGCTTTGCAGGCCACGGTCCAGATTCGGTCTGCGCGATGCTCCCAGGACCCCATTCCTCTTCCGGGCCAAGTGACGTCCTAGCACACGGCTACTCGCGCTGTCTGGCAGTGACGGACACTTGGGTCAGGGAAACTACGAGTTGTTAAGTCGCTCTGTAAGGCAGATGCTGCTGTCACCGGCACTCACGGGTCACTCCTGTGGGGCTGTGGGTTACTTCCGCTGGGTGCAGGGAACAGGATTGTGGGGGGCCCTGCCCTGCACCGACTCGGAACGCTGGAGTCATCTGGCCGAGCTTGGCGAGTGCTGGTAACGCTTTACAGATCACAAGAGACGGAGCTCACATGGCACGAACTTTACAACAGCTTGTCCAGAGAGGTCGACAACCCCGTGGTGGTGACTGAGGCCCGGAGGACCCAGGCCTCAGTGCAGTCGGCCAGCCGGGCCGTGGCATCAGGAGCCCCTGACACGGTGCCCCCAGAAAAACTCCAGAGGAGCGGGGCTGCATCTCCACGCTCTGTGGCGCGGGGGAGGCACCGCCTCCTTCCCGTCTTCCGTGCCGGGGGCTCAGATGCAGCAAAGCCGCACAAACCAAGTCGGGGAGGGGCACACGCCAAGGTGGGGCGCAAGAGGACCTGCCCAGCCCCTGGAGGCCCACGAGCCCAGAGGGTGAGTGGCCACGTCGGGATGGAGCACCCCCCGCACAGGCCTGTTGAGGCCTGGCTCTACACATAGGTGTAGACCGAGGGGCACCGCTCCAGGGCTCCCGGCCAGCAGGACCTGCACTTTGGTCACTCTACCTCGAAAGCTCTGGGGCAGCTGCAAACCCACACACCACGTGGGCAGGGCTCTAGGCGAGCAGTGCTGCTTTCTAAAGACCCAGCAGTTTCAGCATCCGAAGCAATGGCCTCACACGGTGTTACTGTCACACTCTGAACCCACACACACGGCAAGGATTAAAATCAGGGCTGCTCCTTCAGCACCGAGTGGTCTGGGGCCCGCCTGGGGGCCGGGAGCCTGTGTCCCTCACAAGCTGCCCCCTGGCCTTGGGCAAATGGGAAGTGCCGAGCCAGCCCCAGGCAGCTGGACCACAGCTTCCCCCACCAACACCTACAGGAGTGGGGGGCAGCACAGAGGTCTGGGCCCTGTCTTCACCACACACAATGGGGTCCTGGCACCACCACCAGAGAGACTGGTCAGGGAGGACAGGGACAGGCAGAGGGGAGGGACCAGCCAGCAGGGCATAGGAAGACCAAAGGATCCAAGACAAACTCGGGGACCCCCCACGGCCGACTCCCACAGACCAACTGTCTGAGCCAAGCTCATGTGGAATTCTCAGAGACGACCTGACGGCCCTGAGCCCCTCCACTACTCTGCCCCAGGGAAAGCAAGTGGCCTGGGCGTGGGGAGGGCGGCCCCTCCCCCAGAGCTGACACTCCTCTGGGCTAATTCTCAGAGGCCTCCAACAATCCCGCTGGGTCCAGCTGGGCATCCAGAAGTCACTCTCGGGCTGTCATGGAGGCGGGGTCCCTGGAGGCCTGATGAATCCGGTCGTCTAGAGGGGGCAGCGTCCACTGGCAGGCAGGAAGCCATCTCATTTCCTACAGGACGGGTCCGGTCGAGGCTCAAGTTCCAGCAAAGGGCTGGTCAGGAACCAGGTCCCTGCCCCCCCACGCCGTCCACAGCTCCTCACCGGCCACCGCAGAGAAAGAGCAGGTTGTGCACAGCTGGGACAGTGGAGCTGGCATTCTGGCCTGTGACCAGGTGGCGGTCCAGCACCACGTGCACGGCGTCAGGCTCACTGGCTGTAGGACGTCCCGAAAGCGTGGGCTTCAGGCAGGCTCACAGGCCAGGCGCACCCTGAGAACCGGCCCCCTTCCCTCTCAGGGGCCCCCCGAGCGCCAGGCAGCCTGCCTGGGTCTCAGCTGTGGCCCCTGGCCAGCGTCTCCCCAGCCCCGGCTCACCACTGAAGCTGGCGCCGGCGTCCTTCACGAAGTCCTCCACGATGAGGGGCAGGCGGGCAAAACCAGGTGCCCTGACGAGCTCGTACACAGAGGGCTGTTGGGGAGCGGGTTCCCACCCCCAGGTCAGGGCACCACAGCGCCCACAGTTGCCCTCCCCCAGCACAGGGCCCGTAAATGCACTGAGCAGGCAGCCTCAAGCTGAGCCCCCAGCGCACAATGGGGAGAACAGCAAGGCACAGAGCCCTGGGAGGGGTGTGGAGAGGCTACAGCTGGCCCGGGGTCGCAGGGGCGCACACTGAGGTGGTGCTCCTGCCCTCTCCTCCCCCAGCCCCCTGCACCACCCGCCAAGCTGGCCTCCTACAGCCCCAAATGGTCAGGCTTCAATCCTTGCACGTTAGATCTCCCTCCGGTCCTGTCTGGCCAGGATCCCTCTCCAACTCCAGGCCCTGCACCCAAACTTCCTGGCCCCAAAGGGTATCGTGCACATGACAGGCACTAAAACCAAGTCAGCTCCTTCCTTGGCACCCCAAAGTTGCCCGTGCCCCACTAAGAGCCCCCTGTGCTTCCCTCCCCATGTCCAGAGCCACGGGCCATGCCCTGGAGGCCACCCTGGATGTCAGCAGGGGAGGGGATGGGAGAGCAAGCAGCACAGCTACCAGCCTTTGGTCCCGGTCTGGGCAAGTGACTGTCCCCCTGCCAGAGGGGACAGTCCCTGAGTTTTCAGGCACATATACAGGTCTCTGATGCCTGGGTCCATCCCTTGTGCAACACTTACCCCTGTGATGCTGTAGCCCTGGAAGACCCAGGATCGGTCCTCGTGGGTGGCACAGCACAGAGCTGCGACGCCATGGCCAACCGCACAGATGGGCTCTGAAAGGAAGAGAAGATCTAAGGCCGTGGACAACCCCCCGGGGGCCCCTCCCCTCTCCCGACACCTCCTGCCTCCGAGCTCCCTCCCCACCAGTCAGCTTCTGCACGGGGACTAGGCTTGGTTCACAGCTGCTTCCTCAGGTTTTGGCCAGAGCAGACACAGGCAGTCACAGGGTGTGGCAGGCCCATGACCAAGCCGCAGCAGACCCACGGCTGGGCGTGGCGGGCAGTGGTGGATGTCCCCGCCCCTGCACGGCTGCAGCCCACCTGTGAACACCATCCCTCCATGGTCCCTCCACGGTCCCTCCGGAGCCCCAGCCCTGCCCGACAGTCACCCAGAGACCTCCCCGAGGTCGGGTGGGCGCACGGGCATTCCCACGGTGGCAGTGGCCAGGAACAATCACTCTCTGTCCAGACCATGCTGGGAACGGGAGGCCCTGCTCCCACTAACAAAGGACGCTGTGTGGAGCCCCTGCGTTTCTGTCTGCTGGTCCCTAACAAGCATCCTGTCCCCATCAGGCCAGGCAGCATGCCACATCTCCACAGCACAGCCTTTCTTCCAGCCCCCGCTGGCCTCAAACCCTGAACCCAATGAGGAACAAAACCAGCATGTTGGCCACTCACCTCAGAGGGAGCTGCGGGGGGCAGCCACAGGCCCCCATGGAACACAGGCAGAGGGCACACAGAAGGAGCGACCTGAGGGGCACCCCACTTTGAATGTGTGCATCCCCGCGGACAGCCCAGTACCCTCATGCCCTCTGGGGCCAAAATCGGAGGCTCCTCCCATCTGCCCTGTCTGTCCTGAAACATCCCCACTGACCTCTCCCATCTGCTGGCAGAGCCCCGTTCCTCATTAACCTACATACCCCCATCCACACCCCAGTCCCACACGTCACCTACTGTTCTCCGAGCGGAAGTGCTGGAGGATGCGGGCCAGGGAGCCACTGCTGGCCAGGTCGGCCAGGGCCCCGGGACAGCTGGGAATCAGGAGGGCGTGGTACCGGGCACCTGTGGGGAGATCACAGGCAGGGCAGTCACCGAGAGCGGGGCTGCTGGCTGGGATCAGCCCCCCAAGAGGACCAGTCAGATGCCATCATCTGTCATTTCTCCCCACACACACTAGGCATCCCAAGACCCACAAGCCCTCCCTGACTTTTCCGTGTTTCCCTGTGCCACCCACCTCCCTCCTCTAGACAGAGAACTCTGGGCCCAGGATTCTGGATGAATGCTGCCCTGGACAGTCAAGCACTTTGTGGCAAGCCAAGTACATCAGAAGCAGAAGCGCGGGAGCACTGTGGAGGCCACAAACCCACCTAGAACCCCCACACCCCAAAGCCCCAAGGTCTCAGCAGCCTGGGCCCCTCACCATCAATGGACTCCAGCTTGGCAGGGCTGGCGTACGCCTTGAGGCGGAAATCCTGCACCCAGCGAGCATTGCCCTCATTCACATCCACGAAGTCCATGGTCTTCCCCTGTAAGAGCACCAGGGGCCGCAGGTCAGCGGCAGACACCCCACTGTTGGCTTACGGGGGCTTGAAATGCCGACAAGAGCTTGGGGACAGCCCAGACCCCTCACCCAGCCATGCCACACCCCACCCCCAGCTAGCCCCAGCTGACCCTCAGTCCACCCCCTATAAAGTGCACCCACCGTCCACCTGGGGACGACCACAGAAGTATGCAAAGTGACAAACACGTAACCCACTGCTGCTGTGACCCCCAGTCCCATGCCAGAGAAGGGCAGAGAACCCCAGGTGGAAGGCCTGTCCCACCCTCACTCTTACATGCAGGGGCTGACCATGGACGAAAGGTCTCCCTTGCCAGAGGTAGGGCCAGAACCCAGGAAACAGGAACCAGAGCTTGATCACCTCAACAGCCCCCTAACCCTCAGCCCTACCACCTCCCTTGGAGTCACACCAACCTCAGGCTCCCTGCTTCTCCCTGAGAGCGACAGCACTCTTCCCAGACTCAGCCCCCCAAAAGGTACGGGCCCCATGGGCCTGGCTGGACTCACCCCAGGGGTGGCCACCTGTAGGTTGAAGGCGGCGCTGGCCAGCGTGAAGCAGTGAAGGAAGGACTGGGCAGACACACCTGCAAAGTCAACACGGCTCTAAATCGGGCACTACTGGACCCTGTGGGCAGGAAGAGGGGCATGACAGTCCCTGCTCCGGACACCCTCAGGGTCTTCTGGTCCCCCACCTCACCATGCTGGGGCAGCAGCCCCAGCCCCCAGGCCCCAGCCCCTGCAGGATGGGCTCTCTGCCCAGCCTGGCCACGAAAAGCCTCTCCAGAAGGCAGACTCAAATGCAAGGTCCCCAGGTGCAGTCACGGAACCACCAGCGACCCAGCCGGCCCCCACCCCCGGCATTCAGCCAGGAGAGGTAACAGAGGGCGAGACGTGCGTCCTCAGATGCGGGGCTGCGGCCCAGTGTCGGCAGGAACACGGGAGCATCCCGACCCCCACGGGCTGGCCTCGCCCCTGTCCTCACTTTAGGACACTTGGCCGCTGCTCACAGAGCTCCTGGCTCCTGCCCACAACGCCCAGTGCAGCTCACAGCCCTCTTCTGCCCACTCCGGTCCAAAACATTCCCCGCTGCCGGGGGCTGTGGCCCCACCAGGGACATCTGCTTCCAAACGGGCACCTTTATGTCCATCCTGGACCGAATCCCTAAACCTCAGCTTGCCCTCTGCCCAGCCCTGCGCGCCGCTGGGTGTCCAACCATCCGCGGACTCTGCCTAATTCTGCCCTGTTCCTTGAACCCGGCTTCACCCCTCCTCCAGGGTCTCTGCAGGGCCCCCTCCTGCCCTCAGTGCCCTAGTGGCCTTTTCAGAGCTGTGTCCCCTCCCCATGGCACAGCCACGCCAGTCAACCCTCCTCACCCTTACCCCACACCTCGATGGTCACCCCCACCTGCCGCTCCAGGACAGAGCCCCACTCCTGACGGCTCCTCCCACCCACGCGCTGGGCACGGCGACGCTTCCACCTGCAATTCTCCCAACCTTGCCCACTTGGGCAGCTCGAGTCCGGGAAGGCTCCAGAGCCAGACCCCGGGTCCCGACCCTGGGCTCTCCGCCACGCGACCTTGGGCTCGCTGCTTCCGTCTGACGAAGAAAGCGCAGGCGAGGGCCTGGGAAGCGCTCAATCGGGCGCCTTCCGGCTGGTCAGTCAGTCAGGCGGACCTCGGCACCGGCCGTGTGCCCTGCGGGAGCCGCACGCCGGCGCCCCGGTTCCTCACACGGCAGGACGCAGGGGTTCTCCGCCCCCGGGACAGCCCCTCCCCAACCCCTCACGCCCCGGCCACAGGCTCACGGCCACCCCCGCGGAAAGGCCCACGGTCCCACCGGCCGGCTGCCCAACCTCAGGCGCGCCGGAACACAGGCCAGCCCGCAGCTCCTCCGACAGCCTACCGCCCCCCACCACAGCCCGGCCGGCGCGTCCAGCACGGCAAGCCCCGACGCGTGACGCACGGAGGCCCCCAAGGGCCAGCACCCTCCGCCGCGAGGCGGCACCCGCTCTCCTCCCACAGGAGCGCCGCGCCCCGGGTCCCCCCGCAGGAGGCCAGGGACGCCGGCGCCGCTCCCCTTCCAAGGTGGAAGCGCCGCAAGGGCGAACCGCTCGGGGTCGGCGGGCCTACCGGCCGCCGCCGCCACGCAACACGTTCGCGAGCCTCACCCTCCGCGGCGCCGCTGGCGACTAGGAGGCAGGCGGGCCGGCTCGGGAGTCGCTCGGACGCCATGGCATCCTCCAGAGCCGGCGCGGCTTGCGCGTGCGCGAAGCGTGCGTGCGCGTGCGCGTGTGAGTGTGCGCGCGGGGGGGGGTGCCGGGAAACGCCGGTCACGTGCTACGGCGCCTGGAAGTGGGGCCGCGGGCAGCGCCGGGCGCATGCGCAGTGTCTCCTCTTGCTCGGAGCCACCCCCTAGCTTGGTTCCGGGACTGGCGGTGCCGGCCGGGCTAGGGGGCGCGGTGCCGGGGGCATGGGGGCAGGGGGGGCGGTGTCGGGAGGGCAGCAGGTAGGTGCGGGAAGCGGGACGGGGCCGCCGGGGCGGGGGGAAAGGCTGGGGGTCGTGCTGGCGGGGCTCAGAGCTTGGCCCCAAGGCGGCGGGAGACAGCGTGGGCCGACTTTCCCGGCCCGACGCCTCAGCAGCCTTGAGCAGACCCCTGGCCCAGTCCCTGGTCGCAGTCAGGAACACGGTGCCTTTCCCTTTTCGTCGTCCCTTGGGACAGGAGCGTGAACCAGGAGAGAGGACCCCTGCCCGTGAACGAGGGTGCCCGTCCCGTGGATGATGGTCCCTGCCTCGTGGATCTGGGCACTTTACCCTGGATCACTGAGAGTCTGGAGACACAGCATGGAATGCGCGGATGCGCGGGGCAAAGCGCCTTCCCAAGGGGGCTCACGTCCTGCAGGTGGGGGCTTCGAACATGGGTTCACAGGTGACAGTAGTGGAGTGGGCCGGCCAGCGGGGAGAGGGGGTGGGAGGGTGGCCAGGTCAGTCGGGAAAATGGGAGGCCAAGAGTTTAAGGAGGCCGGCCACTCCCCTAGGGCAGAGAGGGTGGGGCTGCGGCGGTGGGTGCTTGTGTGGGCAGAGGTGGGAGTCTAGAGATCAGGGGGGTCTGCAGGTGTCTGCGGGGCCAGGAGGGATGGGTTCTGCCTCCAGGATGGTTGTGGGGAGACAGAGGCATCCAGGGTCGCTGGGGTTCAGCTGAGTCCCTGGAAGAGGATGGGTGTCCCTTCCTGAGATAGTTCTAGGTGCTGAGTCTGGTGAGGAAATCAGGGTGCCGTTGGGCAGAGCTGCATCTTGAGCACTGCTTCCACGGCTTCCACTGACTGTCTGGGAGACACACGGGTCAGCTGCAGATTGTTAGGTGGTCTCTAAGGCCTGGGCCTGGGAGGAGGGAGGCAGGTAGAGGGCCTTGGGCACAGGCTGGTGGTAAAGAGGAACAGACCCACCCCTTGACCCCCACAGGCCACCTTCCAGGAACCCCTGCTTCAGGCAATAGGGTTTCCTCGAGGTCTAGCCAGCCTCAGTTCTGACTAAAGAAACCTTTGTCATGGGTAAAAAATGCCAAAGTGGCCGAGGCCAGGCCAAGGACCTCTACTCTCCTGGGCACTCCTACCTCCATGACCACCGGCTCTGTCCTCTGCCTGGCGAGGCCGCACGCTCCCACAGCTCCTGACTACCAGCAACCCCCAACCTCAGCAGGATCCTCCTCTTATGAGTGAAGTAGAAGCTTGGGGCTCCCAGCATTGGTAGGGCCTTAGGACAGGGGCCAGGAGCTGTGTGGGTGAGTGGAGGACTTTGGATGGAGACCCACAAGCCTGAGGTCATAGGCTAGGCCTAGCCACAGAAAGAGCTTTCTGGGTTTAGGAGGGCTCCCCACGTGGGCATTCGTGGGATCCAGGGGCTGGAGATGCCAGGCTGCAGCGGGGGCCATGGGACCATCCTGCAGGCCCAGCCCCCACCACACCACCCCGGGGCCGCCCTGACACCCACCTCCTCTTGCATCACCGAACTTCATTAGGCCAGGCCGCTCCCCTCTGCCACTAAGAGGACAGACGCGGTAGCTGGGCTGTGGCCCTGTACCACGAGGCTGATGCGTGCAAGTGGGAGCATGCGTGCACAAGTGCACTCTTGTGCTCAGAGGCAGTGTGCGCTCCACTGTACACCTAAGTCCTTGCAGAACACTTCCAGGATGGACCCACCTGCCTGAGCGGGCTGACGGCCGAGCCCATGTCCTGTGTGTGTATGTCACCCCAGCCCCAGTCCAGGGCAGCACGTTTGCCTGGGTCAGTGGCTCCCAGCACATGCAGGGCTATGAGGGTCCAGGTAGCTCGTGGCATCTGGAGTTGAGGTGGGCAGGCTCCACGGGGCAGATGTGGTGGTATGGGGTCTTGGTCCGGGTCTGGCAGCGGCCTGCCTCTCTATGTGTGCCCCTGTGGGCAATGAGGACCGGACGAGAGGGAGCCAGAGGCCCTGTCATGGTGACTGGGGTTAGCCCTTAGCAGGGCTGCCCCCGACGTGAGGCTGTGTCTGTTGCCCTCTTTACCCACACCGTCCTGCTGGCTTGTCTCTCCACTGCCTGAGCGAGTTCCCATTCCATTGAGTTGGCCCCTTGCCCCTTCTGCCCCCTCAGCCCTGGCAGGCGAGGAGGGGGATGCTCCTGCAGCCCAGCCTTGGGCAGGATTGGGATTCCCGCAGGTGGATCAGTGGGCAGTTAGCTCTCCCTCCCAGGGCAGAGCCCAGGAGAGCCTCAGGGACGGCTCTGCACCCTGGCCCACGTCTGGATGGCTATCTCCTGGGAAGGATCCAGGCCTGGGGGGAACGGGCCTTCCCCTCCAATACCCCTTCGTCCATCCCCAGGGCCTCGCCAGTGTCACAGCTGAGGCCCTGAGGTGTGGGGCTCGTGGGCACGGAGTCCTAGGGCATCAGCCAATAGTGACTGCCCAGGAGGAGAAGGGAAGGGCCAGGGAGGGGGCTGGGGCCGGGGCCCCCAGGGCTCTGCTGCTGCGGAGTGATGCCCTTGAACCCAGGGTTTTGGTTTTGCTCAGGGACCCTGAAACATGAGGTGCAGGGTGTCCCATGACATGTTCTCAAACACCAGTCGGGTTCATGGTCTCATTCCTGTCTCTGCACATCGCTCCAGATGGAACAAGGATGGTTGGGGGGGCGTTCTCGGGGGCCTTTCCAGTAGGCACTGCCAGAGTCTCAGGACCCCTAGCTCTCTTGCTACCTTCCTTTCCAGAGTGTGCCTGAGCCGGTCCCCCCGGGAGCCTTCCCACTTGCTCCTCCCTCTGAAATGCTGGAGCTCCTCTTTGTCTGGCGAACTCCTAACTGTCCTTCAAAGCCCCTGGGCACCAGGGGCACCGTTTGCCCTGTGCTCCCTTTCTGAGAAACCCCCCTAAGCTCACAGGGCTTCCTGAGTGCCCCCCCATTAGGTGAGCCTGACTGCTGGGTGGACCTCAGACAGGAGACTTGGGACAGGGCTCTTTCTCAGGGCTGGTGTGTCATGGGCAGCCCTGCTGGCCAGACTGCTGGCCAGGGTACCCGTGTCCTGGGCCCAGCTGCATCCTTCTTTCCAGCAGTGCTCAGGCTTTGGGCACTTTGGCTGGGGCCGGGGGTGGGATCTAGAGACTTAGAGCCCAAGCACTAATGCAGACCCTGAACCAGACAGCAGAGGGTGGCCTCCGCTAAGGGCATGGGGCTGCGGAAGCTGGGGCAGTGGGCGGGGAGCACCGGGGTCCCTTCACCTTCATCACGTAGGGCGAAGTGTGGCCCAAAGATGTCAGCCAAGTGGGCAGGCAGTTTGGTGACCTGGAGTGGGGTGGTAATGGCAGGGAGGCTGGCTGCATCCTGCCCAGGACATTAGGACAGGGCTCCATGCGTAGGTGGGAGGGTCCACAGGAGTGTCTGAATGGGGTTCCTCTCAAACACACCTCCAGGTACCACTGTGCTGGGTGGGGGACAACGGCCACCCACACTCAGCCTTTCTTCCCGCTGGCCAGGGATGGTTCCCAGCGATGTCACCGCAGCACCCTCCGCAGGACCGCAGGGGCCGAGCTGCTGTCCTGCCCCGACAGTTGACCGTGAGCTGAGGCTGGCAGGTGGACACTGCTCACCAACCCTCTGACAGCCTCACCAGACCTCCCTGCGCCAGAGACACCGGGCCAAGATGTCCAGGCACTGGGCATCAGAAACAGCCACTGGGACACAGGGAGCCTCCGCCTGTCTGGCCCAGGGACTAGGGGTGAGGTCAGGGAGGCCCCGAGCCGGGGAGCTGGGGGTGGGCACTGAAGATCCCGGAGTCAGGACTGGCCCGCAGCAGCTGGGGTCAGTCCCCAGAGCCAAGCTCTCTGCCACCTGTGCCTTCGGTGGGGGTATCGGTCACTCTGCCTCCATGATGGAAGAGAGGTTCCAAAGGACCCCACTTAGCCCCAGGCCCCTCTCTGTGGGGGAGGGCAGGGTCTGGAGACAGCGGCCAGCTCCACTCCCTGGTCACGCCAAGAATGCATTCCAGGATGGGACTCCCCAGAGAGGGACTGTACACTCCGGGGAGGGAAGGGGTGCTAGACAGAAAAACGAAGTGGAGCCCCCCCCACATACCTCTTCTGCGTCCTTATAACCTTGACCACCCGTACCCTCCGAAGCCCACATGTGGTGCAACGTGGCACAGCCTGGCAACAGGAAGACATCAGGTCCTGGTACCACGGCCCAGAGCCCAGGTCTCTGGGGAGTCCCTGTAGTGCCCGGGGGTGGGGGTGGGGGCAGGGTGTCCCTCTGACGGTGCCCAGCCGGTGGACACCTCTGTCCCAGGACACGATGCTCCCACCTGAGTTTTCCTGATGGCCTTGAAAATTTGATTTGTATTTATAGTACGTACTTTTTTTTTTTTTTAAGATTTTGTTAATTTATGACAGAGAGAGATAGCGAAAGAGGGAGAAGCAGGCCTCCCTGAGCAGGAAGCCCGACGCGTGGCTCCCAGACACTCTATAGTACCTACTTTTTTTTTTTTTTAAGATTTTATTTATTTATTTGACAGACACAGATCACAAGTAGGCAGAGAGGCAGGCAGAGAAAGAGAGAGAGAGAGAGGAGGAAGCAGGCTCCTTGCAGAGCAAAGAGCCCGATGCGGGACTCAATCCCAGGACCCTGAGATCATGACCTGAGCCGAAGGCAGAGGCTTAACCCACTGAGCCACCCAGGCGCCCCAGTACCTACTTTTTAAAAGAGATTTTTTAGGGGCACCTGGGTGGCTCAGTGGGTTAAGCCTCTCCCTTCAG